AATGTGTTGACTTCCCTCGGACAATAGTCGAAAGATAGATGGTATTTTATTCCAGTCCAACGTAGTCTCTGGATCTCTAAGCATAGGTAAGTTGGAACCTTTTTAATTCCTTGAATCATTTGGATGCAAATTGTTTAGTCATTCTGTATTTGGAATCCAACATAACCCTTTTGTGTAATGATCGAAACTGAGGTGTCCATTGAGATGATTTCTGCGTGGAGGGGGTTGTACGCTTGGACTGGGAATGCAAAGGCTTCTATGAGTTCACCTTCCGAGTTCCGGAGAATGGCTCCTCCAGAGGCACTGCCCTCTTTATAACCTGCGTCTGTGTTGAGGATGAGAGTGGATGGTGAGTTGTATTTCCATTTAATAGGTTGTCTGGTTTTCTGTTTTTGCTTGATGTATGGCATGAGTCCGTCAGTATGCAAGTCTGCGTCGAATTCGTAGAATTTTTTGTTGAGATTGGAGTAGCACCAGTTGGTTGTGTATTGCTTGATTTCTGAGATGATTTGTGTTTTGGACATAGTTTTCCCTTCCCAAATGCAATTGTTGTAAGTTTTCCATACATGCCACATGATAATTCCTGGCATAGCGTGTCTTATTATGTCTCTAATGTTCTTTGAGTCCCTCCCCATCCACCAAATGTATAGAGTCTGTCTCAAGTCTTCGTGATGTGTTGTCCTAACCTGCAAAATAGAAGAGAAATACCTCCATATGGGGCTTATTAGTGGGCATGAAAATAGGGAGTGATTTTGAGTGTCCTGATTGTGTAAACAGAATGGACATCTAGTGACCAATTGAAGGTTAAAACGTTTGAGGTTGTCAGGAAAAGGTAATGAATTTGATAGGTATTTCCAGAGGAAAATTTTGATTTTGAGTTGGATGGGTGTTTTCCAGATGTGGGTGAGTGTGTATGTGGTTGGGTAGTGTGTTCTGGAATGGTGAAAAGCACTGGTTAGAGAGAATTGGCCCTGATTTTCCAGAGTCCAGAGAGGGGTGGTTGTAGAGGTTAGGATGATGTCATTGTTTTGGTGGGCTGTTTTGCAAATAAGTTTCCAAGCAGGTGAGTCATTAGGTTTGTGTGTCATTATACCATCTCTGGAGTATTTGGAGCGCATGAAGTGAGCCCATGTTGTTTTTTGCTCATTGTAGTTCCACCAAATTTTAAGTTGATAGGACTGTTGGATATCAGATAAGGATCTGACACCCAGCCCCCCTTCACTTCCTTGTTTGCAAATGGTTTTCCAACTTTTCCAATGGTATTTGTTTTTCTCCCCAGTTGATCCCCAGAAAAAATTGCTCATCATTCTGTGAAGATTATGAATGATCTTGTTTGGGAATTTGGTAGTGGCAAGGTGGTGAATGGGGATAGATGTAAGTACATGTTTGATGAGTATTAGCCTCCCCGATTGGTTTAGTTGTTTCCTTTTCCAGGATAGGAGTTTGGTTTCAAATGCTTTGAGGATGCTGAGGCAGTGTGCGACCCTGATTATGCCTTGGTGAAGAGTAGCACCTAAATAGGATATGGGTAAGAATGAGATTTTCATTCCCGTAAGTCTTTCCAGCCCTCTTTGCCTGCCGATGTTCATATTTTTGCTGACTGTAACCATGCTTTTGCTGTAGTTGACAACTTGGCCGGATGCTTTACTGAATAGGTCGAGGAACTTCAACAGATTTTTGATTGAAGGAGCAGACCCGTTGAGGAACAACCCCCTTGTAAAGCATTCAATAGTGATCAAGAATAGGTAGGGGATAGGGGGTCTCCCTGTTTGACCCCCCTCTGTGGCTGGAAAAAGCCATAGGGAGAACCGTTGACCAGGACGGAAATGTGTGTTGAGGCTAGATTTGACATGATAAGGCGTGTGAAACGCCTATCGAATCCGAACCTGAGTAAAACAGACTCCAAAAATACCCAAGATACTCTGTCAAAAGCTTGGGCCAGGTCCAGTTTGATAGCAATATTCCCGCCCCAGACTTTTTTGTCTAGGTGGTGGAGGATCTCCTTGGCGAGTAAGATGTGTTGGTGAATGTCCTCCCCCTCCATAAACCTGATTTGCTCTTTAGAGATGAGTTTCGGAAGAACCGTCTTAAGGCGCGTAGCCAATATTTTGGTGCAAATCTTATTTAAAAAATTTGCGAGGCTAATGGGTCGGAATTGGGTGAACTTTTTAGGGTTTGGGATTTTTGGGATTAAGACGATCAAAGAGCTAGAAAGGGCAGTAGGCATCGGCAGTCCAAGAAAAAATTCTTGTACGGCTAGGATCAAATCACTCTTGATAATGTCCCAACATGAACGATAGAAATGTCCGTTAAAGCCGTCTGGGCCAGGGCTACTGTCCTGATTGAGAGCCCAAACCGTGTTCTTGATTTCCTGGGCGTTCGGGAGTTCAGTAAGGAAACAGTTTTCCTCCGGTGAAATAGCCGGCTCCAAGTGAGCCAGGAGACTGTCGACCAAAGTTTCATAATTCAATATAAGTGAGTGTTCAATATAAGTGAGTGTTCAATTTGATCTTTATCCAATATAAGTGAGTGTCCCAAAACTATGAATTATGAAACTTTAGTGTCCAATATGAGATACATATGAAACCATTGTATCTAATTTGGTCCATTTGAAACTTTAGTGTCCAATATGGGATTCTGATGAAACCATAGTGTCCAATTTGAGTCTCATCCCGATTTTTGTACAGTAGTTACATACGGATTATATGTTGATCATTTTAAAATATTTATTATGTTTCAATTTGTAATTCATTTTAAAATAGAAAGATCAATAAATTGAAATTTCACCCCACTCATAACTTGAATTGGTAGCCAATCCCATTTGAGAAAAAAAAATTATGCATTTTCCTCAATTTCTTTTGTAAATTCTGAGCAGTATAAATTAAATTTCAAGGAAGTAATTACCGCTTTTATTGCAGATTCTTCATTTAATTTGAAGTGGAAGTAGGAAGGTGGTCTCATCGTATGAATATAAGAAATGAGATAACATGTTGATAAACTTTAACAAACACACATAAAGTATGTGTTATTTTATGTATTGACACAGTACAAATGACTATCTATGTACCAATACTCTTCTGAGTTCATATGAAGGATAACTTAAGAAAGCCCGCACCAAATATGCATATTTTTGTTAACATATACTCCGTATTTATATTAATCCTTCTAAGTTAATTTTGTAAAGCAATACATGCAAAAGTTCTAAACAATACCAAGTAAATGCTGCTTATATGGCTACAAGTAGAGCAAATCAGCAAATACGTAATTAAGTGGAAAGCCATTCATTCTTTTCTTGCTTTTTTCTGAAGAGCATCACTCTTCACAAAATCAGAAAGTGATTTCTACACATCTCTGATCCACTAAAAACAAACATGTATGAGATGTGGTGAACAGTGTTCTAAATAGCCGTAGCGGCAGTGGTAGCGGCAGTGGTAGCGGCAGCGGTCATCTCGATAGCGGCCTGTAGTCGCCTGAAGCCTGTAGCGATTGCAACAACGTGAAATATTTTCAAGTGCGCAAACTATATATTTAATGGGTGCTAAAGTTAATAGAAACAAATATTTGTTTGAACACTTAGAACATTAACAACTAATATAACAACCAATAAAAATATGACACTTAATAATAGCAACACTTATTAATCAACACTTAATAACAATAAGGAGTAACTTGCATGTACTCATACTTTTATCATAGCTTCATAATAATAGCAAGTACGACGTAGCCAACTTTTAAGAAGACGTTTAAATGTACTACTCCGGTACGTCTCAAATAATTTTGCCATTTCATAAAATTTGGATCATGAAAGTTAACATTTTTTTGCCAAATAATTTAATAAAAGTTATAAATTTTATACTTTTATGAAAGTACTTTTAACAAAAAACAATTTTATTTCATTTGTATATTATAAATAATTTTCAATAAAAAGATATACTCCTCTGTTCCGAAAATTTTAAGTACTTATATGAAAAATTGTTGTCCTTTCACAATCAAATTTTAAGAAGTGGACCATGCATTGCAACTTGCATAATCCATAATAATACCACTTCCGTTCCAAATTGTTTTGTAAGTCAACATTTTTTTCGTCAACTGATATTAAAGTTAAATCATTCTTATTAATAATTAATTCGGTTTTAATAATTAAAATTTAGATATTTATATATTAATATTTGCTACCATAATGTATGTGGATACATGTACATTTAATTTAGAGTTTCACTCCATAATGCATAACCATTAATGTATTTTTTCACATCATACACACAACATGTACACATTTACACATCGACCAGTTCATGATGTACTGCCGGTAGCGGCCTGTAGCGGGCGGCATAGCGGGATTTTCGGTGATTTGAAAATCACATCCTGATAGTGGCCCGTAGAGGTAACGGTACACATCGCGACCGCTATATAGCGGCAGCTATTTAAAACACTAAATGGGGAGTATGCTTTGTGAAAGTAGGAACATTTATTTATGATTAAAAGTGCACCATGAAAAAAACATACGAAGTATATGGAGTATGTGTGTACGCATATGGAATTGAATCATGTGATCATTGAATTTCTAGAAGAGAAAAGAGTAAAATTTGTCAAAAAAATATCACTTCTCATTATGTTGGGTATTTCATTATGTTGGGTGTTTTAATCAGTTTATTTATTTGTGTCCTGTAATTAAATTTATTGCTTTGAACTATCTATTCTTTAATTATGATAAAAAAACTATCTATTCTTTAATTATCTTTTAATTAAATTTATTGCTTTGAACTATCTATTCTTTTATACATTGTTCTTTAATTATCTTTTAATTAAATTTATTGTTTTGAACTATCTATTCTTTAAATTTACTACTATTTTCATTTTAAGAAGGATACAACTACAAAATAAGATCATGAGATGAAATGAATTTAGATTTTTTTTTTTATTCCAGTGCATCGTACGGATAGTGTACTAGTACGTAGTATAGAGAAGGGGGCATTTGCTCTCTTTGAATGGAATAGAGGGATTTAAACTCATAGGTTTTGCCCCTTTTCCCTACACTGAACAAAACGGCTTCATAGTGTGTACTGTCTAGTAACTACTCTTTAGTTCCACTCGAATTTTGAGCTTGAGCAACCCTGATAAGTGATCAGCAAAGCAAAATGAGTGAAACATTGAGTGGAAGTGATCCTCCGGTATCGACGGAAACACCGCTTAAGAGCGGCAATGTGTTTGATGCGAGTAGAATTGCTGAAGTAAAATCGTGGCTGACTTCCCAATTCGATGCCGTTGGGAAGGATGTCCCTGCTTTCGAATACACCGCACGAAGCTTTCGAAACTAGCCGCTGGAATTGTATCTAAAGATTTCCGTCAAAAAGCTGCTGAATTTAGGTCTCAAGGTGCTCCTACGATCTACCTTCTCACTGTCTAATGCAAACCTAATTTTTTTCTTTATGATCGGACTGAACTGTTCTATGTCAAGCTGTATTGTAATTGCTGGCTGAATCTGCCATGATTTTAGCTGCTAGGATAAGAGAGATATTGGAGAACGTGGGATTGGGCCAAGAGAGTTTAACCCCAAATGTGGTTTCATCCGCACAAGTCCTTGCCAGCATGTCAAATTTGCTGAATATTAGAGATACTGAATTGAGTAGGTGGGCGAGCTTTTGTTGTTTAACATCTCTTGTTTTCCCTTCCTATTTGTTTTTGCGGCTCACAGTCTTACGAAAGGAAAAAATTGTAGCTTTCTTGTAGCAATAGCAGATCTATCTCTAAGGAAAACAGCAGTTGAAGAGAAGAGGGCTAAAGTGCAGCAGGAATCCAAAGCTCTTCTTGATTATACTCGAAAGGCAATATCAAGATTGACTTATTTAAAAAGGTTACTTTATGGATATATTCTTTTTGATATTTTCTTGATCAAATATTGTGCTATTTTTGAGGATTATTCAAATGATTTTATATTTTTATGTTTGGAAAAGGTTTATTAGTATCTGGTTTTTCCATGACTGCTTTTGAACTATTATTCTTTGGTAGAACATTTGCACAGCTTGAAGATGACATTTCTCCCTGTGAAGCACAAATGGAAAACTGGAAAACAAACCTGGCAATTATGGAGTCAAAAGAGAGACAATATTTTCAGCAGTATTCTAATTATAAGGTAACTTAATGTTTTTGTTAAACATCATTTCGCGGTTAAAGGATTAGGTTTCCAACCTCTACAGCTTCATTTATTTTCATTTTAATTTTGTTAAAGTAGTGATTTCAATGGACCTCAATGACTGATACAAAATTCAGCTTGGGACATAATTGATTGACTTTGGTGTTAGTTTTCCTCTGCGAGGGAAATGCAGATCATTGATATACAATGAGACATTAGCAATCCAGGCTATATGGCAAACTTGTATGGCTTGGAGTTTTGTTTAATATACCAAGCCAAATGCAAAGAGTTTTTTGTGTATTATTCTCAAATGAACATGTTTAGTTCCATTGGTGAAGGCCTGCTTACTATACCTGCTATACTTGTTTGTTTAAAAAATAATACCCCATAGTAGAAGTATTAGTGATTAAGTGCATATAATGTTCATTTATGATTAAAGGAATTATGGAACCAAATGCTAGATGACTGAGAAATTAGGTGAAACTCATAGTACATTAGACATTGCTGGATAGCATTAGTCTTCTTTACTAAAGAGTCCATATACAGATGCATTAGTCTTCTTGTCATATGGTAAGGAAAATGAGGAATTTGGTGTAAGCAAGCTATTGCAGGTTTATAACTATCCCTAGCATTCCTTTTTGGAAAGTGTTTTATTATTTGCATATAATGTTCATTTATGATTAGTGATTAAGTGCATATAATGTTCATTTATGATTAAAGGAATTATGGAACCAAATGCTAGATGACTGAGAAATTAGGTGAAACTCATAGTACATTAGACATTGCTGGATAGCATTAGTCTTCTTTACTAAAGAGTCCATATACAGATGCATTAGTCTTCTTGTCATATGGTAAGGAAAATGAGGAATTTGGTGTAAACAAGCTATTGCAGGTTTATAACTATCCCTAGCATTCCTTTTTGGAAAGTGTTTTATTATTTGCCCCACCTTATTTGGAAAGTTTTACCATATCATGATTCAAGATGCACAAATATCAGGAGTTTTTATCATCTCTTTTTAATTCTGTCTATATTTTCGTCCACTCTTGCCTAATATTGACTACTCTATTTTTACTCTTAAACTCCGCGAGAAGTAAAAAAGTGAAGTGATAGATAAATGAATAAAGTGAGAAAGTAAAAAGCTAGTAGTGTTCGTACTGTTCAATTTTGGAAAGTGCTGATAGTTTTGGGACAACTAAAAAAGATGCATCTTTCAAAAGGGGTATTTGTTATAATCAGTTATTGCAATAATTTAATAATCTATCTTAGCCAATTTTTACTTGGAGGTGATATTATAAAATAAAAACTGTGTTGTTAAGGTTTGTGTAGAGGAAAGTGAAACAACATCAATACAAAATTGTTACTTTAAAAGGATATGCCAGTTTTCTGGATGGCTAAATAAATAAGTTGACAAAGTTTAGCGGGAAGGAGGGAGTAATATATTTCAGCTATACCAAACACACATAATATGGTGGTGCATTTCAAGCTTAATTTTAACATTATGCTCTAAATAAATGTATTTTATGCATGTAAATTAGCTTAAAATGTACTTGATATGCAGGCAATGCTCAACCGTGTTGGCTATACCCCGGAGGTAAGTCATGGAGTGCTAGTTGAAATGGCAGAGCACAGAAAGGATTTAGAGAACAAAACAAAACCCATTCTTGATACCTTGAGAAGCTACCAGGACCTGCCCCCTGTAAGATCTACTGATTTTTTTAATCTTTTCTAATTTCCTGTATTTGCTTTTCCATTGAATTTTAGTCCTTACTATGATGATGTAGGACAAAGCATTGGCGGCATTGGCGATAGAGGAGAAGAAAAGACAGTATACTGATGCAGAGAAGTACCTTGATGATATCTTGCAGTCAGCTCTTGGTTCCTCTGATTGAAATTAAATCAAGTTTCTTCAAAGCATAATGCCCGAGTTAGGCATACTTAGAAGCAAAAGTTAAAGATAGATCATTGTAAAGAATTTTTCAAGTAATTTTTTTTCAACACATGCAAAGAGACCTGCCAATTAACCCAATTTTGCCGTTTCTACATACAAATATAAAACATTTTTTTTTCAAATCTGAAATTTGGAATAGATCGGGTCTCATTAGGCCCTCTACCTGTACTCCTATGATCCTATCAGGTCGAGTCGGGCAAGTGACTTTCTTGATTGCAAGCTAAGGTTATCTCCCAACCACCGGCGGATACAAACTATCATGTTAGGGGACCGGGAGACTTGTGGACTTGAATGTTTCTGATCTTATTTTTTTAAGACATGATCTGATCTGAATTGATCTGATATGAATATTTCTAATCTGGTCTGATTTGAATCTTTCTGATCTGACCTGAATCCTTTTGATCTAATCTGAATCTTTCTGATCTGATTAGAATATTTCTAAAATTATAATACTATGTCATAATTATTATTATTATTATAGTTATAATTGCAATTATAAATATAATTTAAATATAATCATAATTATAATTAAAATTATAATAGGTATAATTATTAAAACTATTACACTAATTATTATTATGGATGTAATTATAATTATAATTATATTTGTAATTATAATTATTTCTATAATTATACTCCCTCCGTCCCGGATACATCTTTACGTTTGCTTTTATATCGGTTTTTTAGGAGATCAATTAATATGAGAGCATATATCAGTTCTACCCTTTGCCCTCACCGATTTTACTTCAACCGACTACTCCCACCTTAAAAATTTCTAGTTTTTGTTGAACCAATAACCTCCCCATCTTCATCCCACTACATCATACTTCATCAGAACAAGAGTAAAGAAGGGAAGCTGCAATCGCAAATTCCGGATTTAATGCACCAAACCTCCTGCCTCCTGGTGATATAGAAAGTTAGCGCATTAACCCCCTGTGATTTGAAAAATGCGTCAAACCCCCTTGTGTTTTAATTAATTATGCACAAAACCCCTTTTATGAATAAATTTAACGATTTTGAAATCACTTTTCCTAATATTTTGATTGAATATGCAAGTAAATATGTCAAAATCTCTGAATCATACAGCAATGTTAATCATTTTTCTTTTATTTAACAATTGAATTTGTTCACAGAAGGGATTTGATGCATAATTAATTAAAACACAAGGGGGTTTGACGCATTTTTAAATCATAGAGGGCTAATGCGCCGAATTTCCATATCACAGGGGGGTTTGATGCATTAAACCCCGCAAATTCTCTATCGGCAATTTTGGATTCCTTAACAAAATCCAGATTTTAATCTTTTATGACTTAAGAAAGGAATCTAATAGCCCTTATAGAGCTGAATGACTCGAAGAAGGCATCTCGCACGCCTGCGACCGCGTTCTTGGTGGCAGCAATACCTAACGCCGGCTTCTGATCTATCTCTAGGCAGATGAAGGCTTCTGTCTCCGGACAGGGATAAACTAGCACATGCGATTGGAGAATCGATCTTATGAATGGGTTGAGAGTCCCACGTCATTCTAATTTTGAAGGAGAATCCTTTGATTCAAACTCTGGCCGGAGCTATGTGCCTGGAAGTGGGTGCTACCGTGCTTGGATAGTGGGTGCATCAATGTTGTCCAATGAAATGTAAAATGTGGGTGGGTAGGCTAGTAAATGGTAGTTATGACAATTAAAGTAAAAAAAAGTTGCTAACAAGAAAACGTAAAAGAGTAAATGGGACGTCCCAAAAAGAAAAGTGTAAAGATTTAAATGGGACGGAAGGAGTAATTGAAATTATAATTATAATATTTAATTCTATAATTATAATTATAATTACTCCGTATAACGACAACAACAACAACAATAACAATATCGACAATAATAATCATTAACAATGATAATACTAATAGTAATACTAATAATAACAACAATTATAATAATAACTAGAATAATAATAATAATAATAATAATAATAGTAATAGTAATTATATTAACTAGAATAATAATAATAACTAGAATAATATTAATATTTACTAGAATAATAATAATAATAATAATAATAATAATAATAATAATAATAATAATAATAATAATAATAATAATAATAATAATAATAATAATAATAATAATAATAATAATAAGAACAACAACAACAACAACAACAACAACAACAACAACAACAACAACAACAACAACAACAACAAGAATAATAAGTAGAATAATAATAATAATAAAAGTAATAAAATTAATAATAATAATAATATTTATTATTATTATTATTATAAAAACGATAATTCATGTTTGAACTTTTCTGATTTGATCTGAACGCCTCTGATCTGATTTGAATGAAATAAGAATAAGCAATAAGTAATAAGAATAAGTTATATTATTATTATTACTACTACTACTACTATTATTATTATTATTATTATTATTGTTATTATTATTTTGGTAAATTTCGATCTGTATGTATATATTACTACAACTACTACGTATTACTAGTAGTCAAAAACCAACTCAGAAAATGCAGTAAAATTAAAGGATATGTTTAGTACTCCGTATGCAGATCAGACTTCAGAGAATCCAAAAGGCCACTACCTGCTGCCCGCCATAAAAAAAATTAATTTTTATTTCTCTTGATCAATAATACTACGTAATAAACTTCGGTATAGTTAAAACATGTGTAACTTCAATTCGGACTGTCGGAGTATAATAAAAGGAATATATTATTTTCATATCACAAACTAATTTCATACGCAAATTATACCGTGGGATCGGCCCACCGTGAGCAAGGTGTGCCGATCCCAAAACGACACCGCTTTATCAATTAAAATAACAGATCAATCTTGCGCTGCGACTGGAGCCACCGGCTGGAGCCACTTCAATCTGCAAAAGCTCTTCAATCTAGAGCCACCAACTGGAACAACGATTGACAAATTCCTCTATCTTTCTTGTCGGCAACCGACTGGATCAACGATTGACAAATCTTCAAACCTTCTTCAAATTTCTTTTCTGACTCAACTAAGTAAATAAACTTTAAAACTAAAGCATCACCCTTTTAATCTGCTAACATGTCACCCTTTTAATCTGTTGAATATCTAAAGATGTCGATCGATGGAATTAGTTGGAGTATATATACGTATGTATATATGTGTGTAATATATGAAGTTGCATTTTTTATATACTCGAGTTACATCTTCTAAAGCGTGAGTTACATCTTCTGAAGCGCGAGTTACATTTGGACTTGCCTCAACAAGTAACATTTTGTATCCAACTAAGTTACGTTTGACATCAATGCGAGTTACATTTGTAATAACATGAGTAACATCAAAAAAATAAACCTCTACTATTGAAACAAAAAAAATAATTTTTTACACCCTTTTAATGGTCATGATATTAAAAATAAAACATATTCACTATTTACGTAAAGTAATTGAGCAATTAGACTCCTTGTTTTCATTGTTTACATTGAAATCAATGTTGTATTTTTTATACTCCGTATTACACACGTTACATTTCGATTTGTCTGAAGTTACACTTTTTCTCAACGTGAGTTACATTATTTTACACGTGAGTTACATCACCCTGTTGCTGGACAAGGAAAAAAACAAAACAAAAAAGTTACTCTTCACGCGCATGAACAGTAACACGCAAATTTGCCTTTGGGAGCATCATGCTCACCGCGGATTGCTCCCACTGTATAACAACTCAATTTCATACGTAGTATTACATACATATGACTAAATTCTATGGGAGGTAGAGAGTTTTAACAAAAAAATCTTTTGTGCACACTTTTACTATTTACAAATTTGTATACACCTTTTGAATACGTTTTGTTTGAGATAGGAAAAAAACACCTTCGCAGGCAATGTGTACAAGGTGTCTACAATAAGAATCGTTGGATTTTTCATTTTTATTCGTCTGATATAATAACCTTATAACCAAATTGTCATTATAATTAAACAAATAATAGGAATGATTAAAAAGCTAAAGTTTTTGAAATAGCTTCTAATAGGCCATTTAGCAAACACCCCAATACGTACTCGAACGTGATGGATCTTGATTATGCTGCACCTTCCGTGACACCGCCTTTTAAATTGTATTGCTAGATTTTGTATTGATATATAAGCAAAATGCTTAGTGTACATGAATTGTACACAAGTTGTACACATAACCTCTCTGGTTGTCTGTATACACAGACTGTTTAAAAGGGGACAATACTTGATGTTAAATTGTCCGTGTACACAGGGCCGGTCCTGATATTTTATGGGCCCGGGGCGATTAAAAAAAGAAGACCCTTAAAAGGTTATATAAATATATTGCAAAAGCTTAACTTTATATACACAAATTTCAAGATACAAAGTAATGTAAGTCTTTCATCAAAGTCTTAATATATAAACTAAACGAATAAAAATTATATTAAAAAATAAAAAATAAAACCAGAGAATTACTTGTGAAATTGAAATTTCAAATTTGGAAGGTATTTTTGAGAAAATTAGGAGAGTGTTGATTGCTGAGAAAAACGAATTAAAGTCCAAAGATGAAACCTTGAAATTAGGCCTACCTAACGGGAAATGATGTCAGACCGGGGCCATTTGAGGCCCTTCCCGATAGAATTTTTTCATGAAATATTTTAAATATATTCTTCATGAAATCTATAATATCTCCACAAAGTTTCAGATTAAAATTCAACCTGAAAGTCAGTTAAATAAATTATTGAAAGATAGTGCGCATTATTTATATACACAAAGCGCAGTGTGTTTCAATATTTTATTTAACTGACTTCCCGGTTGATTTTAAACTAAAATTTTGTGAATGTAATTTACACTTGATGAAAAATACTCTAAAAAAGTTTCATAAAAAAATTCCTCCATAAAGGGCCCCAAATGACCTCGGTCTGATATGAATTGTTCTCTCTATATTTATCCATTTATATATAATTATGGGCCCCTGTAAATGTTGGGCCCGGGGCACAAGCCCGGCCTGCCCTTGTCCAGGGCCGGCCCTGCGTGTACATCAAGAATGGTCCTTGATATAAAGAGTAAATATTGCGGAAATGGATAAAAGTACAAGAATAATTAGAAAAGAAGACATAAAAAGTACGTAGTAAAAACATTGCCTCTTTTAATTTGGTATATATGTAATCATTAAAAACTGAAA